ATTGCTTGCTGTACTGAGGTAGGGAGGAGATGAGGGAAAAGAGGAGAAGGAAAGATTTTTCAGTTGAAGCCAAGTAGATATGTGGTGATCACAGAGGGGGTTTGACCCCAGTCTTACATCACTGGTTTTGAACACGAGGGGTAAATGCACTGTCCTTAGTGGAATTATGCTTAAATACAATTGGTAGGACCCTGTGACATGGACTAACTTCAGATCCTCTGTTTCTGTTCAGATCTGTTAAGGAGGGGGGGGAAAAAAAAAAAAAAAGAAAAATCAGGCCAAGTTTTTTTGTTTGTTTTTAAATTTCAGCAGCATTTTAACTGAGCAGTCACTAGAATAGAGACTGACACAGAGACAGTCTGTGTTTGCCTTTAGAGCAGTTGGTGTCTCCCACTGCTTGGAGGTGGAGAACAAATCCTGAGGGCGCAGGCCAGTGTGGGTGCTTCAGGGAGCTGTGCTGGGGAAGTCATTGCGCAGATGTGGCAGCCGCTGTGGATCAGCATCACAGTATTTGCTAACATTGGGTTCCAAGATATGCTTAGTGCTGCATTGCTGTTGAGGTGCCATCAAGCAGTGTTTGGTCATTCTGGGTTATCTTTGGGTCTGATGAGACTATATCAGATCACAGTTCTTCTGTAGTTCAGACATGCGGATGAAGGCAGATATGGAAGGGACTTGAGCTAGGCTGGTGTTAGCTGTTGTAACAACTATTATTATTGATTTGAGAATGATTCTAACATTTTGTCTGATGTACTGAGAAGCTATGGATTGCCACCAAAGTTCATACTGACTTGGAAGATCTTCAGCAGATCTTCTCATCCTGCTGAGTGGCCTCATCTTCTCACCCTGCTGCTATCACACCAAAACTGCACCATGACTCCCAGACACTCTGAACCCAAAAGTGAACTAAGTAGGTTGTCAAAATATTCCACATAGAGTCTTTTTTTTTTTTTTTTTTTTTTTTTTCAGAGTAGGGCAGAATATCTTCTGTCTGAGAGCTCTTCAATACTTCTGTTGTAAGAGTGAAAAAAACTAAGGATTGTTCTGGTACGCACATCAGGGCAATACAGCTGTAACGTGTGAGCATGGTTCTTTTCTCAAACAGAATCAGCAATTACTAACACTTGACTAAATTGCAATAATCAGATCTTCATTAATGGTGCTGCTTTCAGGAGACAGAGTGGATGTGGCTTGACCTTTTGCCTGGCTCAAGGTTGAATTTGCAGTGGTAACAGAGAAATCTTCTTTTCACTTATAAGGTGAATAGCAAATTTGATATGGAGAAAAGATTAGGAAAGAATAAATATGGAAACAGAAGGTTCTGCTTTTGTGAAATAATTCTTCAGTGTTTAAATATATCAGGGTTTGGGGACTTGTTATTATAATTAAAACAAACAGGCAAATATAAAACGCAGAAAACTATTTGGCTTTTCAGTGCATGCTGAGCTAATGGTGGAAAAGGTCCTCAGCCCACAAATCCAGCAGGGAATATAAATGATTGATGGTAAAAGCTTAGATCATCCACTTTAAGTGTGATTGACAGATAGTGTTCCTGGCAAATGTCTGGAATTCAGCAAGCTGGGAATGAGAAATGCAAAGTAGTGACAAACAAATGGCCATCTGCATTTCTCTAGCTTTTTAATCTTTCTTCAGAGGTAAAGTGAAATATATAAAGCCTGGAGTTACACGTAAAAAGAAGCTTTTGACTTAGGTTCTCTAATGCACCATTAGACTTGGACAACCACCTTCTGACACACTTAGAAGTCTCACTTTACTCTTCTTGCTTTCCAATTACAGATGTTTTAAATAAAACACCCACTTAATCTGCCCTTTTTTTTTTCTTTCCTTTTTCTTGAGTGATTGATCTTATTTTATGGAGAACATATAAACAGAGGGAGATGGTAAGCAGTTCATTATTATGTGTAAGAGGACAATTGTTCTAATCCAGTGCTGATACTCCTGGGTGGAATTTTAATTCCTGCTTGCTATAAAGACTTCCTGCTGCTCATTTTTCCCCCCATTTATCTATGAATGTCAAACATAAGTTTTTTCAGAATCTGACAATCTGGATTGATATGCATCATTTAGAAAATGCACTTGACAGAAACAAAGCAGTGTGGTACTTGTATGTCTGACTTGCTTCGGAAATCGAACTGTAATGTAGGATTGATTTTTGGCTAGATCACTGGCTGTTAACTTGATTAACTTCGGGGAAATTGTTAATGATAGAAAACAGTACAAATTCTTGTTTTAGCCTGGTTTGTCTCTTAAAACTTGAGGTTTCTGTGATCTGACTCAGTTTGTGGTTCATGTGTTGCTTTTCTCTCTTTGGTTTGGCTCAGTGGGCACCCAACAGACATTGCTCCTTCACATGCTGCTCTTGCCAGCTGTAGGAAGTGGCTCCCTGGCATGGCAGGGAACTGCAGGAGGGGGAGTTTTTTGGGAGTTACAAAATAGCAAGGGGAAACTGGGGTTGCTGCCACAGGTGAAGTGACACAGTTGTGTCTTTCTGTGTTAAATGAAAAGCAGGATTAAATTTTAAAAAGCGTAAGATGTAACTAACTTCTGCTGTATATAATTTCATACGTAGGCAAAGCAACAGCATGCTGTTTGTACTTGCATTGTACTAATTGCTCTTCCTGTTACTGTGGGGCAGTAAAATATTGTCATTTTAAGGTAGAGAAACTTGTCTGGATATGTTAAATACGCTTAGAAATGAGCTAGAATTCTTCTCCCTTATGCTTGGACTACCAGCTCTAACGGTTGCTCATCAGTGATGCCACATTTCAATGCTTGATAGATTCCAGAGCGTTAATTAAAACAGTTGTTTAGCTAATTGCCTGGAAGATTGCGAGTAAAAGCATATTTATTCCAAAGGCAAACAATCCATTTTTACCCAGTGAAGCGTATCAGTTTTTATGGTGCATAAAAATTGTTTCACTTCAATTTTGAATATGTTATGTGTTTGTCTGTCTAAAAGCTTGTAGATGATGATCTATTTTAAGTGCATTTAAGCTTTTTTCTTAGGCCATTTTTAATGTATGTACTGAAAAAGTGTATGTTTAAATAATTGAAAATGTGAAAAGTCATTGCTATTAAAATGCAAAGTTGTTTACTGCACCGGGCTATTGGGCTACCACCCTGCTTACTGATATGCAGCGCTGATAGTATTTCTGGATGTTGGCACTGTGTAAAGAGACTACAGGTAGAAGAAAGGGTATCACTAGAGTGCCTTTGCCTGTCTTTATGAGGAAAAAGCATGCTTATGGAACAGGTGGTTTTAGTATATATATGCATTTAAAATGAAAATATAGTCTGTGCTCCTCCAAAGTGTTCAGGGACTAAACTGGTCCCTGGCAGGTGGACTGCACAGGGCTTTTTGTGGAAGATTGGGAGGACATCAGTGTGAACCACAGCTTATTGCATTACAGTGTAGCTTACCATCAGGGTGATAGTTTCTCCTCAAAGAGAAAACACTTACCTTCTAATGGAAGAAATTACATAATGGTGGAAGTACAGCTCAAGGGCTGAGCTGGGAGTTCTGGGTTTAATTTAGAAGTTTTTTTGACCTCTTTACTCATTACAGTTCTCTAGAATTTTATATAGACTTTCATACATGACTGTTTATTTAGGGAATGAAATCTAAGAAAGCCCAGGTGAAGTCAATAAACTAATATATATTTTGATGCTTTGGCTTTAAGAATTGCTACTGGAAAAGTATTACTTATAAGACAAGGGACCATCTGGTCCATGCCTACCACAACTTGATAGACATTGTAAATGTATTTGTTGTTTGTCTTAAAAGTGATGTGCAGTGGTGATATAACACAGTAGAGGTCTAAGAGGAAAATACCATTCAGAACAAGAACAGTATAGTTTTTCGTTATCACATTAACAACTGAATATTCTTATCTTGTTAGCATTGTATGTCGGAAAAAAAGACTATTACTCTGTAAAGGAGCTTGTAACTTTCTCCTAAACACTCTCTTTTGTGCCCAGCCTGAGCTGGGCTATAACCAGGAAATCTTGACAGGGGGCTACTCTTTCAGCAGATTTTGGTATTCTTGCCACGCATTGTGGTTCCCAGAATGGTACAGCTGCCCTCATTGCAGTATTTATCAGTAGGGATTTCACTGACTGTGCCAAGCTCATAGACACACACATGGGAAGGTTGTAAGGAAATGGTCATGTTTTCTTTCTTCTGGTATGTAACAGCTAAATGTTCTTGCCTTGTCAGTATTATCTTGGTGATAACTAACCTGTACTCTTCTTATTTTGGACTACGCTGTTACCTTAAACCTCTGTTGTATTATATGGGGGCACACATGCACAACTACTGAAAGATTTTGTCGAGACTTTTACCAGCTGAAAAGCATAAGAGCAACTGAGAGTTGCAAGATCTGCTTTATCTTGTAAAGACAGACTTTTCTGGCACTGATCTAGCAAACTAGGGCAAACTTACTTTAATACTGATGTATAGTAGTGTTTCGTTACAGCCTGTAACTGCACTGACATATTATACAAGATGGTTTTATTGACACAATAGTGGGTAATTGTTAGCCAGATTAAGAAAACTCAATAACATAGAGGTAAGAAACAAATCATTTGCATGCCAGTTAAATGAAGAAAGGGGAAAATCATTTCCTCTTAATTAATCTCTTTGAAAGGGATCAGAAGAGAACATGAAGCAAGAATGGCTTTTCTTGATTTTTAGAGGAAAACCTTTGTTGATATTTAAAGAGGACTTGTCACATGAAACATTTTCTGGTTGAGGTTTATTCTTACAAAATTTTGCTGGGCTGTTGTAGTTAACAAAAAGATAGCGGAAAAGGTATATTACAAATTTCAAAATTTTTGAAGTACTTCAAAAGATTAGTTTTTTTCCCCAGACAGAATTTTTTTCTGACCACATAATGACTGCATAAATGAGATGTTTGTTCTTTCATATTTTTGGTGGAAATAGTACCATTATTGAAAGCAATGCTGCTGCTTTTCTCTAGGCAAAGGAGACGTTTTTGGTGATGTGTTCTGGAAGGAGTCTACCCTTGCCCAGTCCTGTGCTAATGTAAGGGCTTTGACTTACTGTGATCTTCATGTGATTAAGAGAGATGCCTTGCAGAAAGTGCTGGAGTTCTATACAGCCTTTTCACACTCCTTCTCCAGAAATCTCATTTTGACTTACAACTTGAGAAAAAGGGTAAGTAGCTTTGATTTTAACATAGACTGTATAAATGATCATTTTTAAGGACTATCTGTATGGAAAAACTGAATTGCTTGAATTCTGGTATCCTTCGTAGCCTCTCTTTTAAGAAGGTTTTTCAGAGCTTGCCTAAGCTAGCATGTATAGTCAAAAGGCCATGGTATTTATTCAAGTGCTAGTTTTATAGGGAGCTAGACTGTGTGTATGTGAAAGTATTTTACATTTCTATGAAGCAGACAGATTCCAGCATATCTGTGAACAGTTATGCACTTGTGATAAACAGTATTCACTACTTTCAGCAACTTGAGTTTGTAAAGCAGCTAAAAAGATGTTAGTGGTGTTGCATGAAGCTGCAAGGAAAGTGGAAGGAAAGGTATGAAATCTAATATATGGAACAAAAGTCAACTACAGTAATCACAATGTAAAAGTAATATGAACATGACTGATTCTTTCAAGAGTTGTTTCTTTAGTATCAATCACATTTTGGAATTACTTTGCTTATCTAATATTTCCATTTTCTTATCCTTGATTTTTTTTTCCATTTTCATTTCTTCCTGTGTGCCAGTTCAAGTTATTTTGTCAAACATGAATCATTATAGCCCAATATCCCGTTTTAAATTCTCTGTGTAATCTTCAGTGAACCACCTCTGTAGAAATTTATTAAAACTGTAGTAGGTATCATTCAGTTGATACGATTTCATGATATGATGTAGAAGACAATAATATTACATTGAAAATAAATACATTGGAACTCCTATACTTGCTTTAAAATATTATGATATAAAGATACTTGAGCTAAAGAAATATGTTTGATAGGAAATTTTTTGTTCCTAAAACCAGTTCTCCCTGGTAAATTCTAGGTCCCAAGTAAGTCCTAGATAACTGCACCTGAAAAAATAGAAACCTTTTCATCTTTGAATTCTGTTTTGTAAAATTAGACTTTAAGCCTAATGTATTTTTTTAATAGTTGTGGGGTGTTTTTTTTGTACCTAGAGTTGGCATACTGAAATTAAAGTAGTGTGGTGATGTTTCTATCTGCATATGTTATCAATATCAAAGAATTTGGCTTTTCAATATTGGGCAAAGAGGAATGTGCTATCCACACTTTGGTCAAATAAATCAAAGCTCTGGTATAAAATTGATGTAGTTAAAAACTAAGGAGCCAATTTACAATTGGGAATTTCCTCATAGGACTTTTTTTCAAATTACACTGGGTTCTTGCATGACAAGGAAAACACATGTAGATGCAAGAAGATTGAGCTGGCCTGTTAAAATCTAAGTTTAAAAGCCAGCTACTTACCTGGTGTTAATTAATGTAAGAAATAAAAGAAATTAAAGAATTGGGTATTGAGATTACCTAAAACATCGGTATCACTGACTGTCATATTTTAAAATAACATTGTGGGTAGTGTGGTAAGATGGTCTAAGAATATATAGTTACTTTTTTTTTTTTTTAACATCAGTAGCAATAACAAACTTTGAGGCACTGAAAGGACCAATTCTCTTAAAGCTCACAGTAGTGCAAGCAGAGTCGCATCATTTTGTATCTGCTGAGCCAAAAGTCCCAATTTTAAAATCAGATGCCTACTCCAGAAGTGACACTCCTTCTCTCCATGTTTATTGGCATAGCTTTTCCCAGCTCAGCTTAAAAAACACTTTTTTAACTACAGTATTGTAATTCCTGTGCTGACAATTTTCTACATGAAAAATTCCTAATAAAAAGGTACATTTTATGATAGCAATTTCTATCCAGTTATTCAAATAATTGGATTTTAATTGAGTTGCAGTCAGCAGAAAAGTGGCATTGATTGATAATGGAATTGAGAGTTTGATGGTTCTAGGTTAACCAACTGTAATTTTATTTATTTTGTTGAAAGAAGCCAGATTGCAATCAGAATGCAAATGGTAAATAATGTAAATAATATACGCTTTTGGAAATGCATAGAACGTATGATACTTCAGAGCTTGGAGATAATGCACATTAAAAGGCAACTTTTTAGAGTTTGGAGTTTAAATATCTGTGAATCTTTTATAGAAATAGCTCCCCAGCCTGTCGCTTCTAACACTTCTCCTGATCTATTTCTGCAAATGGAATTTTGTAGAATTCAGATGAACCGGTACCTTCTGTGAGTTACGTTTGTGATGTGTTGCATATCCTTTGGAATATAAATACCAGAATTACACTTTTCATTTCAATATGAAGTTGAAGTATAGATATTGTATATTCTTCCTGAATATATTCATACAGATTCCAAACACATGAAGAAGCATCTTTGGGGATTTTTTTGCCTGAAGGATCTCATGGGTATATTTTTTGATCTGGTTATTCCTCTGAGGTGTACCCATTTCCAGGGTGCATATGCCTTCACTTGGCCATGGTACTGAGGCTCACTGCATAGTGCAAGGTGCTTTCTAGCCCAGTTTCACTCAACTCAAGTGAGCTTTAGCATTGGTCCACTCTTTCACCATGTTCACATATTCCTTGGCTGCTAGGTCTCTTCCAGTGATCCATTCCCTCATGCAGATGGGACTCCCTGTCCCAGACCCTTCAGTGCCAGTGAGCAGCGCTGACCTTAGAGGTGTCCCCCCTACTTACCGGAGTCTGGATCCACTTGCTAACCACTGTGACAGAAATAAGCAGACATGCAGGTACATCGTAAAGTACAAAAATCAATTGATCTAGAGTTACTCTAGAGCTGAATTTAGGCAAAGTAAAAAGCTTCTTCCCTCCATTTCTTGTGCTGCTCTTCCTACCGATCTTGAATGTGCTTTGAGCTGAGCCTGGGAGGGCAGGATGCTTCTGTCTGTGTGTTCCCTTTATGCCCTCCCTACAACAGGGCAACAGTTGCGAAACGTTGCCACCCGTGATGTCTGAGGACTTGATGGCCGCAGGAGACACTTCCAGTGTTCTGTCCCTGGCATGCTGTGGCTGTGCTGTGAAAACAGCTTCCTTTCACTCACTTTCTTGACAAACAGTGATGAAATATCCTCTTTTCTAAAACTGTCAGCTCACTGTCAGGTGACTCCCTGAGCAGTTTCCTCAGGTGACTAAAATCCCTCCTGAAGTTATTAGCTGTCTCATTACCTCTGGCTGGAGCTCAGACTTAGAAAACTTTATTTTTCCTAAAGGGGAAGAGAAAGTAGACCTTTAATTAACTCTTTCTGCTGCCGGTCATGGAAATTTTCATCTAACTGGAAGGAGGGAGAGAATCAGCTGCTGCTCCAACGTCTTAAGAAACTGGAAACTGCAGTCTGTGGCTGCAGGTGGCTGTATGTCAGACTCAAGGGCTCTGCAGCTGAAAGGAAGCTGACAGAGGATTTCTCAGAGCACTTCCTGCTGTAATAATGCTGTGAAATTAAAGCAGGTTAACTTGATGTTTCTCTCTGTTTTTGGAATCTGAGAGGAACCAGAATGTAGATGCTGGGGACATGTCGGATGGTCAAATGTCAAAGTCACCCTTGTGAAGGGTGTGCTAGACAAAAGAGAAATATTTCCGGTTTTGAAGGCAGCAGGATTCACAGGCTGGATGGAGGTCTGGTTTTGCCCAAGAAATATTTAAACATTTCAGGGTTTCCAGCCTGGACTTCATAGCTCTGGGTTAGTACAAGTGTAAGAAGAAAGAAGCCTTCATGACAGCTACTTCTGTTGTCTTTTGTGTGTGATGAGGTGCAAGTTTGCTGGCACCTTCTTTAGGAATGCAAAAGGCCTCTGGCAACACTTTCGAGTGTTCTGCTCTTGGCAGTTGCTTCTTTCCATGTGTATGAGCTTTATGACCAATATTAACTTACACTGGGTTGTACTACAGTGTATTTGCTCAGTTCATTCTGCTGCAGCCATAAATGATGTTATAGCTCAAATGATCGCACACACTACATAAAAGAGAGAATTCTTATACATAATTTATTAAGCTGAGATTTCTCTAGTAAGCCATTTTAGTCTGTATAAAGATTAAATGACGAATTCTGAATGCTTTGGAGTATCATGATAGAAAGTGCAAGTAGCTTTTCCAGAAGCTGAAATTTGTGTCCTGGAATAAAAGAAGGAATGCAGTAGGATGTAGATATGTTATTTAGGATTTTGTAAGACTGAAAGAAATGGCAAATAACACTCTGCATTTTTACAAAACAAGAATGATTTCGTGATTTAAATCCAGAACTCCTAGTTAGAACATATTTCTTGAGAGAGCAGCAATTGCAACAGAGAAGTCTGTCTCCCTGCTGGTGTAAGATTGCATGCTTTTGTACGTGTAGTGGTGTGCTTATTCTGTGCTGTTCCAGCAGTGCCCGTGAACAGGGCTCTCACCACCTCTTTCTAAAAGCAATTTTAAAATATAACTGTGCTTTCCTTTTCAGCATTAGCTTCACCTTTCTTCTTTTTTTACACTGAAGCTCTAACTAGAGAAACAATCTCCCTCAGATCAAACATTTCATCTAGGAGTGCTTCAAGCTGGAGTGCTTAAATCTCAGGGAGCTTGATAGCAGGTTGTTTTCAGAGAGACAACCCATGGCCTTGTATTCTGCCTTTCTACAAGACAAGTTTTCCAGTTCTTTTTGATGATATAGGTTCAAAATGGTATCCCAGACTACTTTCTGATATAGAAAGCTGAATTGCTGGAAGATTTTTAACAAGGCTTTCTTAAAATAAGAGTGAAAGGCTTTAATTATAGAATATTGGCCCATTTGATGATGGATTTCAGAATGGTCCAACTGACAGCCTGCTTATTTCTCCTGCATTTGTACTCACCAAAACAATCCCGTAAGTCCTGTGGGAAGAGAGGTTGATGCTTGACTGGCAGGTGTCTTACAGCACTGAAAACCCAGGACACTGGGTCCCACATGACTGGGATGTCTGGAAGGGTCTGTAGTTTGAAAGTTATGCCACAGTAGCTGTCCAGGAGGCAAAGTTGTCATTTTCAAAAAAACCTTCCAAAAGTAAACAAACACTTAAGTACTCAACTCTGTTCTTTCCCATGCTGCCTTTTAAAAGCTGTTCAGGT